GTGTCAACTGAAGTCTCGAACACAAACGGATCCTATTTAACCGATTACGGTATAACACCACTAATTATGGAAGGAAACTACATTAGAGACTAGGAAACACTTGAACTAAGCGTTAGAATCAAATGTGATTGAGTGAGGGAGGTGTACGACCACCCTAAGGGTGTGTACGGCCATGGGTGTACGGTCCATAAGTGTACGACTATACACTCATGAAGAGATGTGTTTTTGAGGTGTTTCCAAGGTCCTAACTAGCATCCAAGAAGTGTTCTAGGCTCAAGATTAGTTGTAATGCAAGTTTGAGGCCAATAAAGATCATTTAATGTGGTTTTACGGCCCTAGGAGGTGTGTGCGACCGTACAAGGGGTGTGCGGGCGTACAGCCTTCATGTTTATGCTAAAATGGTCGATTTTAAGGCGAATCAAGGCTAGGATCAAAGGTTTATGATGATTTGAAAAAATCTTAGATCGATTAGTTCTTCAACAGGTTAGACATTAAGACAAACAAATAAATACTGTGAATACAAGACAGAATCAAAATATAGCCTAATAATTCAAGAATAGCCACGCCTCAGCAGAGCTCGACAAAGAACTTCCACTATAGAGGCATACTAGGGTTTGTAGCACAATACTAAGAATAATAAGATGAAAGCGATAAACACAAAGGATGCATGCATGCACCTTTAAATATTAAAACCCTAAAAAAAATAATTATGGTTGGATGGGCCCAAACCAGTAACAAAACTGGGCCAAGAAACGAGCTCAAGACGCAACTCATCTTGTCACAACAATCTCCCCCTTTGCGTCATTAAGGGGAGAGACTTCACTTAGGTTTTGCAACAGAAGACTTCTTGACCGTCTTGAACACCTTTGGTACTATAGCCAAAAGAGTTTGTCGGAAAGTGATATACCACCGAAGCATGTCAGTGAAGTACTTCTTGTCAGCATCGCTATTCTGTTTACACCTGTTCACCAGATCAATGATATGTTCCAAACAGGATGTGGAAAATAAATGTTTATCGTCGAGAGCAAACACGAACTTTTCTCCCTCTTTCCTTGTAAACATCACAGTTCGGTACTTCGAATCAATCACTCCCACCTTCATTCGGTTTAGATCCTAAACTTTCCCAATTGGTTTGATAGTTGGCCTTTTTCGCAAAACCGATGAGATTTCTTGATCCATCAGGGCGACTTCATGAATACAACAGGCAATCATTCACTTGATATGATCAATAATTGGCTCATACTATTCCACACTGGTAAGCAGGATGTTGTTTAGTAGGATCCAATCATGGCAAATCAGCTAGAGAGATGTGATGAACCGAACTCTCTGATCCTCTTGTTACTTTGAACGTTACGTTGATGAATTTTCCAGCAGAAGTCGGCTTCATAACCTTCACAGTTGTAATCTTTTGAGCACTCTAGGTTAGATGTTGTGGCTGAGCATATTCCATGTAGTAATCAACCAAATCCTTGTCTGTATTCGGATCTGGTGAGGGAATAGCGATTGTTGGAACAAAACTGTGAAAAACAAAAGCTTTCCTTATGATGGGTATATCAAATTGAGAGTCTTTAGAATTCTCACAGTCAAACGAAACGAATGGTTCAAGCCAATGCATGCTTGGAGAATCTATAGCTTCTTTTATCATGCGCTCCAACGTCCATAAAGGAATAAGTACTTTGCAAAGTTCCAATAGGTCGTGAGCCTCCTTTTGCTTTTGCTCCCTTTCTTCATCTTCTTTATCAATTCGAGAGTTTTCATCCAGCTCTCTGTCTCGATTTCTTCTTCTTAGATCCGGATCATCATTCTCTTCTTCTTCTTCTTCCATGACCCTTTTCCTTTGTCATTTTTACCAGAACCCGAAGCTTCATTACCCTTTGGTTCTTTTGATTTTGGTGATAGCTGATGAGATCGTTTTTATTGCTCTTCATGTTTATCTCCCCCTTGTTGCGGAGTAGCAACTGACTCCGGAACACCCACCACTCGGCTCAACAATGCAAGACACGCGTATTTGATAAGATCAGAGTTGACATCGGCTTTTGAAAGCTACGATTGTTGATCAGGTTCTGAAGCCTATAAGGAGGGAGTCCATGGATAGTTGATCAGGCTTTTGAAAGCTACGGCTTTTGAAAGCTACGATTGTGGCTAAAAGACATTAATTAAATAAAGGGGACTATAACTGTCAATTTTGTGATAGTTGAATATTGGGCTAATGGACTCCATAGAGGATGGAGTGGACGAATTCTATGGGGAAACCCATAAGAAATCATCCAAGGCCTCTAAAGCCTATAAGGAGGGAGTCCATGGACTGCTTAGAGCCTAAGCAGTTAGATTAGGGTTTCCTAAGTTCAAAACCATAATAGCCTCACATATTTAAGGACCCCTAAGGCACCAAAAATGTGGGCCACTGATTCCTTAGGGTTTCTAGATGTTTTTGAGTGCTTCTTCTCTTCTCCTCCTTCATCCTTATTGCTAGTGGTGTTTGTGACTCCATTAGAGGTGCAACACTTGAGACACTAAGCTTTCCTGAAGCCAATTACAAGGAGAAATAGATTGTTATTGCTACATAACAATCAAAGGTAAGATCAAAACCCTAATTCCAATTGTTGTTTATTAGATCTAGGGTTTATAGCTTTGGATAATTCAATTGCATGTTCATTAGACAAACTAGATCCGAAGCATTAGGGTTTGCATGTACACCATAGGAATGATGTAGTGCTCAAAACCATCAGATACAACGTGAATCGGATGCTGATATCCTTTATGACTTTGTCACCCATAAACCTGTCGGTCCGACTGTAGCTAGCAGCAAGGTACGGGATAGTCAATCCCGTATAGATCTACACACAAAAGCCACACTCTCCCTCTAGGAGACTCTGGTTCATAAGGGTAGTCCTCCACTTAGTTAATGTTGTAAGCGCCCAAGGACTTGTCTCCCAACTAGGTTAACGACTTTAAAAGTAATATATGTAGTACGTAATGTTCTTTTGTACTTGAATTCGATGTATGTCGTGTAGAGTAAAAATAATTATACTTAAATAATTATTAGTTGTTGTACTCTTGTAGTGTTGTATGTCATAAACTAAATTTGTCATAGTTTATAAGATTGACCATGTATGTAGTTTGTATCGGTGAAACTGGTAAAGAATTTCCCGAACTATACCTATTATAGTTTGACTGAGAAGTTATGTTCGTGATATGTTCTGGAAGCTATGCGATTTTGATTAGAAAATGACCCTTATGCTCCACATGTTACAAAAGGGATAAAGTATCTAAGTGATTTATGAAAATCCGATGATTTGTGTCAATTGCATAAGTTTTACTTGTTGAAAGCATTTCTATTTTTGTTCACAAAATCCTTTGTGTTTGGCTTGTATCCCCCCCCCCCCCCCCCGACAACGTTTAAAAACGTAGGGGGTATGATCTCACTGTTTGACGTGGGATTCGAATGTAAGATCAATATAGATGTTGAGTGTCAACTGAAGTCTCGAACACAACGGATCCTATTTAACATATAATAACACGCGTATGTATTAGATTAGGGTATAACACCACTAATTATGGAAGGAAACCTCCTTAGAGACTAGGAAACACTTGAACTAAGCGTTAGAATCAGATGTGATTAAGTGAGGGAGGTGCACGGCCACCCTAAGTGTCTGTACGACCATGGGTGTACAACCCATGAGTGTACGGTTGTACACTCATGAAGATCGTACACTCATGAAGAGATGTGTTTTTGAGGTGTTTCTAGGGTCCTAACTAGCATCCAAGAAGTGTTCTAGGCCCCATGTTTAGTTGTAATGCAAGTTTGAGGCCAATAAAGATCATTTAAGGTGGGTTTACAGCCGTAGGAGGTGTGTGCGGCCGTACACCCTTCATGTTTATGCTAAAATGGTCGATTTTAAGGAGAATCAAGGCTATGATCAAAGGTTTAGCATGTCCAACTAAGTGATAGGGGCTAAATTCTCACTTTGGAGGGCCTTTAAGGTGTGTACGGCCAACCTTATTTAGGTGTGCGACCGTACTCCCTCAAAGGGATGGCGAACATGATGAATCAAGGCTTAAATCAAGATGTCTTTCAAGCATAACAAGCTAAAGAACGAAATACTTACGATTTGGAAGCTTGAAGAGGGTTTATAGCCACCAAGAACTAGTGTGTATTCTTGGTATAAGATGAAGATCTAGTTAAAGAAGAAATTTATGAGATGAATACATGAATTCACCATTGGATAAGGAAATGTAACAACAATTCAAGATGAGAAACACTTACATCTTTGAAGTTCTTGGGGAAATCTTGATGAAGGTAGAGAGAGAAAGTGAGAGAGAGTTCTAGTGTGCAAAAGTGATAAATGATGGCCAAGTACCCCTTATATAGGGAGGGTGTACGACCATGAGGGGGGGGGGGGGGGTACGGTTGCACACCCATGTGTACGGCCGTACACTCCTCCTAGAGGAGTGTTTGGCCCGAATGTTGTGTTATGACTTGGAATAACTCGACCCTAAACCCAAACATTGATTGTACTAAGCTTAAAATGTTTAAACAAACCCTAAACAAGGTTAAAAGATAACAGAAACGAGTTTAACATTGATTGAATTGATTAGCTTGATCAAAAAAGAAATTTTGGGTTGTCACAAACGTTTACTTGCATACAAAATTAAGAATTCAATTGTTAGCCTACAAATAATAACAATCAAAGCAAGGACATCCGGTCATGCTCATATTGATTGCACCATTGATCTTGAAGCATTGCAATATTATTGATTATGTTAGGAAAAAACTTCTACAATCATTGATGATGAACAACACGAATTGTTTCCACTATGATTACAAAGACATTGATGATGAACAACACAAATTGTTTCGATTGGAAACACTGAAGATGTGTGTATATATCATAATGAACATCCCCTCATGTGCCTATAGATTGGAATGAGCTAAAGTTGCATTTAGAAAGTCACCAATTGATAAGTTTCATCTTCATGATGGCCTTAGTAGTTGCAAGTCACCAATTGATAAGTTTTATCTTCATGATGGCCGCAGTAGTCGCAAGTGCTAACCTTACCCGTGGTATCATAGGACGCACGGCTACATTAGGAAGGGCATATCGTGGTGTCATAGGACTCATGGCTACATTGGGAAGGGCGTACCCTGGCGTCATAGGATGCATGACTACATTGGAAATGGCATAATGATACTTTATAAACCTTTGGTTTTTATGTGGCATTATAGCCATTACATTTGCGTCTTTTCTTTGTTTTTCGCCAAATTCCTCCCAATTTCTCTTGAAACCTATAAAACACATAAATGAATTGAAATAACCCATCAGAGACCAAAACATTACATTTAAGCCAAAATATAATGCAAAACCATAAAAACATGACTCCATAGCAAAACCATCATATATGATGCGTGTGTTTTCATAAAAAGTAACTTATTTATGTATTTCCACAAAACGATAATTAGATTATAACAACAAACATATAAGGTATCTCTAAAACTCATTTACCTCTCACAAATCACTCCAAATACCATAATACAACATTCAAACTTGAGACTATGTTACTTAGTGTTTAATCAAAGTGGATTTTAAAGAAGAAGAAAAAAAAACATTAATTAGAATTACATGTAGGGCCAAACTTCTGAGCCTTCTCATCAATCCAAGCTTTCATATCTCCCAACACAATAGCAGCAGATTCATCTGGTTCCCCTTGAATCAACGAATGATACAACCCTTCATAAAGCTTCAACTCTTTATCTTCTTTCGGAGTTGCAGCCTTCTCATACAGCAGCTCTGCACCAGTATGGCTTGCCATCCCGTCGGCTGTCCCGTGTGCAACAAAAAAAGGCACAGTCACCTTCTCAAAGTTGTCCACTACGTACTTTGTACACCTCGCCACCTCTCTCATCGTCCCCACCCTTGGTTTTCCGGCGTATCGTTTTGGATTCATACCTATTAACTTCATCTTCTCCGGATCCCTTACCCCATTTGCCCTCGGACGCATCGGCATCGCAGCCCACGTATCCGCCAGTCCGAACAGTAGTCCGTACATTGTCAGATGGAACTTCAATTAAGAAATCAGCATAGTTGTAATTGAATCAGAGAATCAAATTGAAAAATCTAGATCTGGGATTTGTGGCAAATATGAAATAGATTTGAAGTTGAAATTGGAATTGGAATTTGAATTTACCTTGGAGGGACTCGTGACTTCGGGTATGATCAAAAGTGGGGACGCCAAGATCAAACCGGACCACATGTCGGGTTCTGATTGGAAGTACATAATCATGGTGATTAGTCCACCCATCGATTGCCCGAAAAGGAACGCCGGGAGATTACGGTACTGTTCGCTCCGGCGAACACTAACGAAGAACGATAGTGAAGTTGCGGCAGCTTTATCGAAGTCTCCGATATATCCAGGGAGTCCGTCGGATCCGCCGTGACCAATGAGGTCGGCGCCGAAGACCGCGTATCCCCACTTGGCGTACGCGATGCAGATCTCCTGGAAACACCAGCTGATGTCGCCTCCGTATCCGTGGGTCATAAAGACGACGGCTTTAACTGGTTGGTCTTCGTCTAATGGAAGCCATGACTGAGTAAAGATTTTACCGTTGGGGGTTTCGAAGTGGGATTTGGAGTTCCGGACGCCTTGGGATTTGTAGTATTCTTCCTCCGGTGTATCACCCCAGAAGAACGGTGGTGGCGTAGCTTGTGGTGGAGTGTTCGGTGGTGGCATGGTTAGTCGGAGTTGTGCGAAGAAAGTAAAGTGTTGAAACTTATAAAATTGTTTCGGGTAACTCCTTTTCTATAGAGTTTATGACTGACTTATCCGATTTATGAGTAGGTGAAGGATTATTTGAGGGGTCGACTAGAATATGTGGCTTTGATTCCTTTATCGGAGATGACCATGAAAATTACTAGGAATCGGTGTAATACAAGCATAATTCATTCATTCATCCCACCAACACTGCAATAAAAAACATGAATCATTGAGTATTGACCTTAATGGTGTGGCATGTGGCAACAACTCGATACCTAATATTTAATATTTTTGAAAAAAAAAAAGATGATAATGTTGTCGACTTCTACAAATACGAACACGAAAATGATTTTAAAAGGTAATATAGTTTTTCGTTTGCATATATATATATATATATTATATATATATATATATATATATATATATATATATATATATATATATATATATATATATATATTATATATATAAATGTTTAGTTTTTATTATTTTTCTTTTTATAAAATACGCTTTTGAATTTTTTTGATTTTATACACTTACAATCCTCAAGACTCGTTACTGCACGTTAAGCTTTTGGGATAATGACTTAGGAGGGTAATAATCTTTTTTGTTTGTTTATTTTAGGTTTCTGACGTATTTTTTGTGTGTATTACACCATTAAAATTATTATAATCATTTACAAATAGTCATTTTAACAGGAAGAAACCGGTAAAAGAGATTATTTCTAAACATTTATAACAACCTTAATGGTGTAATACACACAAAAAATACGTTAGGGGACCTAATATGGACTAACGGTAAACATTATTACCCTCCTAAGTCATTATCCCCATATGAAAATATAAACTCCTATAGTAAATTTTTACTTTTTATATAAGAAACTTGTAGGTCTTAGGGTTGGTAATTTGGATGCTTTTAACCTCGGTCTTCTTTATAAATAGAAGTGACGATTTTTTAATGACAACAGAGCTCTTTGGGTTTAAATTGTCAAATTTTGTCATGGGGAAGGTGGTGGTTTTTCGGACGATTCGAGAATAGGAACCGGAGGGGGTGTTTGTCAAAAGATTGTAGGATCCATTAATCATCTCCATGAGAGTGGTTGTATTCCTTCTAATTCCATGTATAGAGTGGTGGGGGATGGGACTCAAACGAGGTTCTAGAAGGATGTTTGGTGCTTGGATATTTCTCTTACAGAGCGATTCGGGAGGCTCTTTGCTTTGGCCTTTAATCAAGATGCTCGAGTAAGTGAATAATAGGATTCGGTGGGATGGAATTTTCATTGGCATCAGGGGATTAGAGGAGGGGCTAAATCGACCCAATTTGATTATCTTGTGAAGATATTAAATCTTATTCGCATAGGGGAAATGTCGAATAAGTGGTCTTGGGAGCTTGAATCGTCGGGTATCTTTACTGTTAAATCAACACGGAATTGGGTTAATGATATGACGCTTCCTATAGGTAGTATGTCTATTAGGTGGAACCGTTTTGTCCCTATTAAAATTACCTTTTTTATGGTGTGTGCTTTTGGATCGCATTCTGGTAAAAGCAAAACTAGTGGAAAGGGGGGTGGTGATAGATTCATTATTTTGTCTTGTGTGTCATAATTCTCAAGAAAGTGTGAAGCATTTATTGTTGTAGTTTTCGGTTGTTGATCAGGTTTGGAGTCGGGTTGGGCATTGGCTTCATTTGGACCTTCCTGTGTTTTCATCTATCCGTGATGTGTTACAAAATCCAATCCGGCCTTAATTTGTTCTTCTCTCTAGCTCCTTGCCAAAGGTTTTGTTTTGCTAGAGGTTAACTGGATGATGTGGTTACAAAATCCAATCCAATCCAATCCAAACCTTTCTACTTTTTATTCTTTTTAATTTCAACAACTTTATATGATATACACATATAAAAATAAATACTAAAAATCTTAAAAATATATATTCAAAATAATAAATACTAAAAATCTTAGGAGGGTAATAACGTTTCTTGTTTGTCCATTTTAGGTCGCTACGTATTTTTTGTGCGTATTACACTATTAAGGTTTTTCTAACCGTTTACAAATAGTTCTTTTAACAGGAAGAAACCGGTAAAATGGATTATTTCTAAACGGTTATAACAACCTTAATTGTGTAATACATACAAAAAATACGTTAATGACCTAATATGGACAAACGAGAAATATTATTACCCTCCTAAGTCATTATCCCTAAGCTTTTAGTTTATACATATTTAGTCTCTAATGTTAATTTTTTTACAAAATAAGTTCTTGTTTTTTTATATATATATTCAGTCCTTATGATTTTGCTCACGTAACATTTTATTTGAAACTATCATTAATGAAGTGTTCTTATACATCGATCGTATGGGAAATGAAATCATGTGTTTTGCAATTCGAGGTGGTTGAGACATACACGTCTCCTTAGTCCTCACAATAGCATTCTAATCGTTATAGGGTTTTAGTATTTTGTGATTCAAGGTGGATGGGATATGAAATAACATCTTTAATAGTTTCAAGCTCATCTTCAAAAATCGAGGTCAAATTGAAAAGAACAAAAAACCTATTTGCTGAAAAATGGTCAAACTGAAGCTTTAGACATCTTCTTCTTAAAGAAAACCAGGACGCCTATATTATTTGACTGATACGTGAATTAGGTTATTGATATAAGTGAGGGATAAACCACATATGAGAACACCTTATTAATGATTGTCTGACGTAGAATGTCATATGAGCAAAACCTAAAAAAAACCTAATTATAAGGACTGGATGTGTACAAAAACAATAATGATTTATTTTGCACCAAAAAAAAACATTAAGAACTAAATATATACAAAATGAGAAGTTAACAAGTAGTAGCCGGTCATAACCTATAATAGTCGATCATAAGGACTTAATGTGTACAAAATAACAAATTAAATGACTTATTGTATAAGAAAAAAACATTAAAGACTAAACTTGTACAAAAGAAAAAATATATTATCATATTAAATCATTTTCCCTTTACAAACATGTAAAACAGAGAATAAGATAGGTTGTTAATTTTGATATGTAATTGAGTATACTTGATATTTCCAATGATTATTTTGATATATTCGCTTAATAATAAATGTTTAGAATATTATATACTTTAACGGATTTTAATTTTATTTAGAATAATAAAGAGAGAAAAAACCGTTAGGTTTTATACAAACAATCCTATGTGTGCATGCAACCCTATCTTGGATCTATGTTTTCACTATAAGACATACAACTTTATGAACACAAAATAAACCCTAGCATGCTTCTATAATTTTCGAAATTTACATAGAAGTGTAGAAAACATACCTTTGTTGTTATATAGCAATAACAACTAGTTTCCTTGATCTCTTGAACTCTCTAGAACTCTTGAAAGCAAGCACCACAATTGTAGTGCCTCTAATGGCTCACAAACACCTTGAAGCAAGAAGGCAACTAAGAGAGAGAAGGGAATGATGCTAATTTCGGCCCTAGGGTTCCCTTGGAATCAAGTGGCCTTAAATTGAAGCATAGGGTATGTATTTATACTATAGGGTGCTAGGGTTTCAGTCAAAACCCTAATGGACAGCTTAGCCACCAAGCAGCCCAAGAAACCTTATGGAATGAGGCCTTGGACGAAAATATGATGATCCTTCATCATAATTTCGTTCCCCCTTAGTCCATTAGGTTTCCTAGCCCAAAACTCAACTATCACACAATTGACAGTTTATACCCCTTTATTTAATTTGTCTCTTTTAGTCACCAAATTAATTCCTAATTAATTTATGACTAATACTAATCAAATAAATATGATTTCTCCTTTAATATATTATTCTTATAATATATTAATAAATCATAATATCTCCTCTCTCATATCAAATTACCTTGTCAAGTTGCTTTGGTGAAGGCAACCCAAAAGGACCATGCACACTCGGGTCAAGTATATACCAAATATGGTTACTGACTTAGACATTAATCCAACAGTCTCCCACTTGGATAAGTCTAGTAACTATATCTCACGTATTACTTCCGTACCCGATAGCAATCGTAGCTTTCAATAGCCGCTGTCAACTCTGACCAATAACTTGTCCTTTAGATAAGGGATCGTATAATCCTCTGTTCTAGATATCATGCTAACAATACTTATTGTCTAGCATTTTATTTCTTGATCTCTGATTCGTTCGACATAGAACTCAGTTGAACACATCAACTTCATCTTGACCGGGCCCGGCACATAAGTCAAACCAAATCATCAAGTGGCCGAGATATCGCTTTTATCCTCATAGAATAAAAGGAACAGAAAAACGTCGACTAATATGCCTTTATCATTTACCAGTTAAACCATACACAATAATGCGTTTTATGACATCAAGTTACTGATGCGTTTTCGCATTATCAATGTATAATCAACTAGCAAACAATAACCATATCTCTAGGTTTAAAGATTATATGATATTATCATCTTGCGATCACTTGTGATGACATTCATGAAGTAATACCAGCAAGTGTGGGTCTGTTCCAATGCTCAATACTAATTTCATAAGCACTCATAAACTTTGCAGCAAACCTTTGCTATGTCTAAAACTTTTCAGACAATCTACAAACAAATTTATGACAATCTTTCTTCATATCTACTTCCAACATATGAGCGATTGTGGACTGTTCGAATAATCTCATTATTCAGGAAGTCAAAACATGCAAAAATCGGAAAAATAGATAAATAATCAACACATGATAGAAACTTTCTTATAAATAACACACTTTTATTTAATCATCAATTGTTGAGTATGACATTATCTATTACAAGTTTCCTACCTATCTAATCTGAACTAATATCGTCCTTCAGCCCTACGCTCCTAGCGTGCTGAAAATGCTTGACCCTACTCAGTCCCTTCGTAAGGGGATCTGCTGGGTTATCTTCTGACGATACCCTCTTCACAACGAGGAGTCCCTCTTCTACCCGATGTCTAATAAAATGGTATTTCCTGTCGATATGTCGAGATCTGCCATGATCCCTTGGTTCCTTGGTTAAGGCAACCGCTCCTTCATTATCACAGAAAATTTCCATGGGCTCCTTTATGGATGGCACAACTCCAAGGTCTCCAATGAAGTTCTTCAACCATATAGCCTCCTTTGACGCTTCGCTCGCCGCAATATACTCTGATTCGCACGTTGAATCAGCTACGGTCTCTTGTTTGGAACTTTTCCAAGTCACTGCTCCTCCATTTAGGGTAAAGACCCAGCCCGACTGCGATCGGAAGTTATCCCGATCCGTCTGAAAACTAGCATCACTGTACCCTCGTACCCTTAAGTCATCACTCCCACCGAGGACTAGAAACCATTCCTTGGTCCTCCGAAGGTACTTAA